CGCGTTTAGAGGGAGGATAGTCCGGGCGGGGTTTAAATTCCCCCCGCCGTCTCCCTATTCGCAAGATACACACAAAACTAGCACTGTACCTAAATCAGACTTTGAACTTCACTTCATTGCCCATTTCAGGCCAACTTGGTGGGAGGGGGGAGGACAAAGTTTATACCTTGTACTTTCTGAAACGTCCCTGAAACGCATGTTTTAAGTGATCATACAGCCATTTTGTTTCCATTCTTTCCAGCACTACACAGAGCACAAGGCAGGAAAACACTCACATTTCCCTGGCAGTCAAGCAGGCAGCCTACTCACTAACCTGCAACACAGGAAGGCAGGCTAAACTCACAACACAATCAAGTGACACTAGTCAACTGAATGCATCAGAACACAGCACTGGAAAGAACAAAATGGCTGTGGGCCCACTGTAGACACAAATCGCCACAGAATGAGTGGAACAGCAAAAAATTAAGGAGGGAAAGGTTGAGGGGGTACTTTAGGCCCTCGATATGACATCGAATCATAGAGTTGGAAGAGACCACAAGGTCTCTTAGACCATCCAGTCTAATCCCTGCCATGCAAGAAGATACAGTCCCTTATTCCTGCCAGTTTTCTGCTGGTTTCTATTTCAATTCCAATCCACATTCCAGACTTTATGTGATGGAGGGATGATAACGGCAGTGGTGGCAACATTTTCATCATCATCATCATCATTCTGCCACATGTCCTCCAAATGACCCAATTTGTCAGAGGCAGTCCCAATTAATCCTCCATCATCCCACTTTTGAACTGCTTTTAAAATACCCCACTTTCTCTCTCCCCACTTTTCTCTTTGGTTCTCAGCTTACTTCAGTTGATGCAAAGTGACTTCAAAGCACAAAAGTAGTTTAAACTCTACCTAGGAGGGAAAGGAGAGGAGAGGAGAAGAAAGGGGAGGAGGTAGCAGAATCTTGCCTTTCCCAATAGACCTAGGTAAAAGCAAACTGACGAAGCCTCTTCCAGCTTGTGCATTTTTTTTTCATTAATAACTTTTGTCATCTTAACCACACTCTGATGTTGCTTCATTTCATGAGCCATGGATTTCATCTGTGCAATGGTGAAGGGTAAGCTACCAGAGCATGGAGATTTAGAATATGTAATACAGTGGTCCCTCCACATTCCCTGCAGTTAGGAGTGAAGGACCCCTATGAATGTGAAAAAACCTCAAATAACAAAACACTATTCTTTTTACCTATGAGAACACCTCTCTAGGAATCTCCAGGTCCTTCAGTGCAACTCTATGGTCAACATCTGCCAGAAATTGATAATAGAATCATGCCAGACAACCTACAAATGGCTAGAGAAGTGTTTTCTCTAGGAACTTCTAGGTTCTCCAGAACAACTCTATAGTCAACTTCTGGCAGAGTTGCTCTGGAGGACCTAGAGTTCCTAGAAATAACATATTAATCAAAACTGCAAACAATCAGATTTGCAAATGTTAAAGTCACAAATGTGGAGGGCCAACTGTATTACAACTAAGGCTTCAAACTTTTGTTTACCCCAAAGTAATCCACACTGAATTAAATGGAAAACTTTTAAAGTTAACACATAATACAGAGTTGGGCAGTTAGTGGAGATTTATCCCTCCCCATGGAGGCATGATTTTCAACTGAAAAATGTGACCCAGAAATACTCAGAAATCCACTTCCTGTTTGGTGTTGTTTGCCTTCAAGCCATTTCTGACTTATGGAGACCTACGGCCTTTCATGGGGTTGTGGCACGATTTGTTTAGAGGGGGTTTGCCTTTGCCTTCCTGTGAGGTGGAGAGAGTTTGACTTGCCCAGGGTCACACAGTGGGTTTTGGTAGCTGAGCTAGGATTTGAACCCTCGTCTCCAGAGTTGTAGTCCGATGCTCAAACCACTGCACCACACAGGCCCTCTACCATTCTGGTTTGCTATACTTTTTGTATTTTCAATCATTTTGTAGAGGTGAGGGTGTGGGGATAATGTGGTGTGCAAAAAAGGGTAGGCACCTTATTTTGGTGTGTCTCTGAAATGTTTGGAACCATTTTCTAATATCTTAGCTGATATATGTTTTTTGAAAAAGCTGGGGAGGTTATGTTGCCTTTGGTGTACTAGAAGGGGCTTGGCAGTTGTGAAAAAAGAGATGGGACCACATGCATGCAGCCTACAGGCCAGACTTTCCCCACCCCAATGGGAAAGGATAAAAGTAGCAAGTCCCTCTCATTTACCATAACTTAATCCTGGTTGCCAAAAGCCCACTAAGCTCAACATGAAACTGAGCATTTCTTTATTGAAGGAATAATTGTAATAGTGATGATGATGATGTTTGTTTATAATGCCCTTTCCACCAAAGAAAAAGGTGGTACATTAGAACATATATAATCAAAAACAAACGATAAAACACCACACTATAAAATGTTAAAATGCTAGTATAATATACTAATATGCTAAAAACAAAAACAAACAAAATCCACATCAGTTACTACCCATCTTGGCTCAACAAATTGATCCAGCAAATCAAAGAGGAAAGTCTTCAACCGTTTACAACAATAGATCAGATCTTCCTCCAGGCAGAGATGCAGAGGAAGACTGTTCCACAAATGTAGAACCAGATTCTGAATGGCTTGCAGCTTTGACTGAGCCATGTGCATTGGTGGAACTTCCCATAATCCTTTATCTGTAAATCTTAAATTTCTAGATGGTGCAAACCATGCTAGCCGAACTTCCAAATACGGGGGGAAGTTAAAGTTCAGGGCCTTAAATACTAAAAACAAAAGCTTATACAGAGAGTGCAGGATAAATTCCCCACTCTTTTTGCAGGGCTCAAATGACCCATAGAAGTGTGAAGTGGTTGGTTTTAAAAAAAATACTTTTATTTTTGGCATAACCTTTAATTTAAATTCTTGTACAAGTTCAGGTCAGAGAATAGAGAGACTTTCATTCAGGTCAATTTCTTTAAAGTACTTGCAGTTGGGCTAAAATTCCAAAAAAAATTGTTGTTATTGTTGTTGTGTGCCTTCAAGTCATTTCTGACTTATGGTGACTCTAAGGTGAAGCTATCATGGGATTTCCCTAGCATGATTTTGTTGAGAGGAGGTTTGCCATTGCCTTCCCCGAGGCTGAGAGAGTGTGATTTGTCCAAGGTCACCCAGTGGATTTCATGGCTGGGCCAGGAATCAAACCCTGGTGCATTATGCTTCTGACCAAGCCATTAGTAGCCTTGCACCATTTTTAAATAATTAAAGTTTCCAAGTTGTCTCTAAAGGCAGCTTCATATGGAACGCATCACAGTAGTCTAAATGAAATGTGAAGGATTTAACAATTATTATTATTGTTGTTTTATTATTATTATTATTATTATTATTATTACAATGAAATAATAAAATCAAAATAAATAAGATTCAGGCAGTGGATAGGTGATTGGCTGGGGACCCCTGTGTCCAAAGCTGGAATGAATTGATTTAAGGAGCATCCAGAAAATGCACTATAATTTTACCACTTAATTAATTACCATTTAATTAATTCAAACCACCATGAGAGACAATAGTTTAATCTTCACTGCAGAAATAATATAGTTTGACACCACTTTAACTCAATGCTATGGAATTCCAGGATCTGTGGTTTTATGAGCTATTTAGCCTTCTTTATCAGAGAGCTCTGGTGCCAAAACAAACTACAAATTCCAGAATTCTATACCATTGAGCCATGGCAATTAAAGTTGTGCCAAACTTCATTAGTTTTGCAGTGCAGCTTAGACCAGAGACAGATATTCTTGAAATCTGTTTGAAAAAGCTGTAAAAGAGGAACGTAGGAAAGAGGCAGACCAGCCTCCATCATCCTTTGCTTCCCGCAGCTATGCCATTGTGTGACACCTGTGGTATTGCTCAGACTTTTAATAGTGCCTATGCCTTCAAAAGAAAATAGGCCTGATTCAACTAAGTTTATCACATGGCACTTACAGGAATGGGAATGGAACAGAACAGAACAGCATTGAACGGGGTGAGAACACATGTTACTGCACAGGAGAATGCTGCTGATGCCGCCGGGAGTCCCCAAGCGATTTCCCCAGCCATTCCTGGCAGCCGATTTTGAAGAATGGTTAAATCATTCTTCAAAATTAGCTGGCATAGCACAGATGGGGAACAGCTTGGGGACTCCCAGAGGCATCGGCGGCATTCTCCTGTGTGGTAACACGCATTCTCACCCTGTTCCGTGCCGTTCTGTTCTCGTTCCTGCAAGTGCCGTCTGATAAACTTAATCATCAGAATAAGGCTTCCAGATTTTCATATGGGTAGCAAAATCTGGCACTATAGATGTGACATCTGCTTCCCTGATAGATTGTTCTGCTTAAGAATAGTAATTCTTGCTAATCTAAGGATTGTATATTCTGGCAGGAGACATTGTTGTCCATTTGAATTCCTATAGCTCACTCTACATAGGGCTGCCTTTGGAAATTCTTCAGAAACTTCAGCAACTCCTAAATACTGCAGCTAGATTGCTTGACCTGGGCTGACTATAGGGAACATATAACTGCCTTGTTGAAACACCTTCACTGGCTACCAGTCCATTTCTGGGTACAGTTCTAAGTGTTTGTTATGACCTAAAAAGTGCTGCATCTCCCAATATGAGGCTGCCCAAATATTACAATCTTGGGGGAAGAGCTTTCTCTCCATCCCACCATCCTCACAAGTGAGTCTGGTTGAGGACACAGGAGAGAGCCTTCTTGGTGGTTGCTCCTAAGCTGTGGAATTCCCTCCCAAGGGAAGCTTGATTGGCACATTCTCTGCACTCCTTTCACCAGCAGGCAAAGACTTTATTTAAACAGGACTTCAGTCCTTTAACTGGGTGGGGTAGCAGGATGTGCAATGGGGGTGCTGTTTCATAATATGTAATGTGTGTTTTTAATTTGTTTAAATCAATGTTTTAATTGGATCAATTGTTTAATGCTTTTAAAAACTTTTGTAACACATACTGTTTTAGCTATTGTCTTAACTTATATTGTAAGCTACTTTGAGTCCCATATTGGGAGAAAGGCAGGGAATAAATCACATCAAATCAGATGAGATCAGTAAATCAACCAGCAATACAATTTTCCAAGATTTACCACCTCTTTAGCATTACATGGGTATCCACTAATCACAGACATATTCCTGTAGCTTGTTTGCCCCCACTTCAATACTAACCAGTAGCAAAATCTTGCAGGGGGAGATATCTAGCTGTGGCAACTGTGACCTTTCCCCGCTGCCATCTCCTAATGCAAAGACAGCATAATCCAACCATCTGACAACCTCTTCTGAAATGGAACTTGCATGATTTGGGAGCAAAGTTCAATTTTCAATTTTCTGACTACATCAAGTTCATTTGGGCCTATTCCCAAATCATTCTGCAAATTTACTCCCTGCTCAAACCTAAATGACTGCACACATATTCATATATACAACATATTCTTTTATGTAAAGGCATTGTCATTCCCTAGTTAGAGTAGGGATGTCAGTGTCCACATTCTTCATCCTTGCCTGGAAAGACAAATATTATTTACAACATTCTCCCTATTGTGTAATAAAATGACAATTTTTGCACAGCTCTCTAGAGATATTCACATTTTGCGAAGTCTTTGGGAGAATTATTCTACACAAAAGTCAATACATGCAGCTTTTCTGCCCCCTCCCCAAAAAAACTACATTTTTTTTTTGGTCTGGAAAATAGTGTTTTCACTACAAACATAAGGCTCAGCAGAAGGTGAAAAAGTCTCTAGAAGTACTGAGAGTTTCCAGTTCTTTTTGTTCTGTTTTTACCTGCATATTCCCAAATTTACATATTTCTTGAAATTTCCCAGGTTTCCCACACTCCCTCCTCCCTTGTGTTCCTCCTCTTCTCTCTCACACTGATCATGTGGCACATCTAATGAAACATTTCAGAAACTGATTTTTGCCAATTTTCACTAAGACTTCTTTATTCTTATTCAGGAGTTATAGTCAAAATGATATAGTATTTTTTTGGATGGCACACATAACTTTGGTATGAAAAGAACAAAATTAATAGAGATTTTGAACATCACTTTGTTTGTAGAGCCATTCTAAACAATTGGAATAAAATAAAACAGACATTCTATAAAAGGATACCTGGTTGGATCTCTCCACATGAAGCTTTTTTCAACAGGACCCCATTACAAAAATGGTTAAGATATGAGGATATACTATATAAGAACACTGAAAATAACTTTGTACTTAAGCCGATTGAGAAAATAAGTATAGTAGAAATCCAAAAACACTGGTTTTTATACCGTCAACTTGTCGAGAGATTTTAAAAAGACAGAAAGCAAGATGATTTTGAAATGGAAAAAAATGAATTAGACAATTTACTAATAAAAGAAAACAAGAAACTAACATCTAAATTCTACAGAATTCTTCAACATAGGAAGTTAGAAAAAGACAAAATAAAAGACTTTATGATCCAGTGGGCTAAGGATCTAGGTAGGGAAATTAATCTAGACAGTTGGCAAAATGCCAGGAAAAAAAACTTGAAAATTT